AGATGCCTTTTAAAAAACAAGTTTATATCATATTCTTATTCATGCCAGTGTTGTATGTGAGGTAATTTAAGGTGGTTGTGACAAGTGTCATCGGCATCTTCATATCCGGTCACATGGGCGGCAAGCCACTCCCACAAAGGAGGCCACACCCACAGAGTAGGTTCGAACAATTTTTGAAACCCACCCCTGTCTTACAGGTTTGTGCCGCTTTAGCCAGTGCCCTTCTGACATTTTCCCAGGTTGCTTTCAGCATCGACATCCAATCAGTCAAGCTGACTGAGGAGAGGGGGTCCCTTGGATACTCGGGCATTGGACGAAGTCCATACCACTCACTATTTTGAACGCTGTGAGTCCTGTGCTACTGTGAACAGCATTGTACACAACCTCAGCAAAAGATAAAAGGTCTGCCCAATTGGACTGCTGATCACGTAGCACCTCAGGTACTGCTTTATCATGGTGTTCAGTCTCTCTGATGTCCCATTAGTGCTTGGATGAAAAGCTGAACTAAGGCCCTGAGATGACCCAATGGACCGCAGGAACTCCCTCCAGACTTAGCCGTGAACTGGACCCCTCTGTCTGAGATAATTCTTCGAGGTACTCCATGCAGTCGGTAGATAGGCTTCACGAACAGTTTAGCGAGCTTGTGAGCTGAGGGTAGTCCGCTACAGAGTATGAAGTGTGCCTGTTTGGAGAACAGGTCTATTACAGTCCAAATCACTGTTTCCCCCATTTTTTTGGCAACTCTACTATAAAGTCCATTGCGATCATCTCCCACGGCCACTTTTGGCTTTGATCCCCAGTTTCAGGACTGTAGTTAGGTTGATCAAGCACCTTGTGCAGCCTGAGTCTATTAGGGCTTGAAAATCCCCCTGATTTCCTGTTTTTGGGGCTGTGAGGTGTATTGGACAAAGGAAAGGGTGAATTGATTTACTCACCATTGGGTCATTTTCTCCCTCGTCCTTGCTGTCATATGATTTGGGTAACTGGTTGTCATTGCCTGGGGTTCTACCACTTTCGCCTGAGGGGGAAGTGGCCTCTGCAGCCTGGAGGGTTTTCCCGGACGTGTTGTTGGTCCGTTTGGGCCATCATTCTGGTCGTGCCCTGGGTGGTGGGTTTGGGGCTGAGGTTGGGCATGCAGCTGCCATGTGGCCCATCCCCCCACATCTGTAGCATTTCAGCGGACTTCAAGGGAGGGCTGGTCTTGGGGCCTGCTGTGGTGTTGTGGTTCCCCGCCGGCAGGTCAGGTTGACCTCTCTTGTGTGTCCGGTTTCTTTGTCATGTTATTGGTGCGCAACCAGCTGTCGACTTTTGTTGCTACTCGGAACTGCTCAGAGTTTATTTGGGATGTCGCAGTGTGCAGTTATCTGGGCAATTTGCTTATCCAGGATTGTTCTGAAAAAATGCACCAGCAGCTGCTCTGGTAAAGGGCGTAAGCTTCCTATGACCCTCCTAAATTCATGGATGTGCTCTTTGATAGGGTGACCCTCTACTTTCGGTTGCTGAGTTCCTCTTCTGCATATGGGTCCTCCTCTACCTCCTCAAATCTGGCCTCTAGCAGTTGCAGAAAGTCATCTATGTCTTGCAGTTGGAGGGCTCTCTTCTTGTGGAGCGCTGCTAGCCATTACCTTGCTTCTCCCTCTAGACCCTGTGCAATGGTATTCACCATGGCTTTGGGGGATGGGTAGAGGTGCCCATAGCATTCTAGGTGGACATCAGCTGAATCAAGGAATAGGGCTAGCTGGTCTGAGTCTCCATCAAACTTTCACCTGAATTGGGGTGGGTCGTTCACCCCTACTCCTCCAACCTCCTGTTGGCCTCTGTATGCTTGTGCCTGATATGGCTGGTCATCTTCTTCACCCCTAGTTTGGAGAGAGGGAGGGGATTTCCTGCTCTTGGCAGCCTGCCTACTGCGTGGGAGAGGCACTGGTTGCCATTTTGGGCTCCTTCTCCTTCTATCGGAAGGGGGAGGGGGCTGCACTCCAGTCTGCATTTCCTCCTTTCAACAGGATCAGATGTCCCTCCCCTCTCTTTTGGGTGGCATGATGGCCCCTCAACATGAAGGGTGGCTCGATCAAAATCCTCCCTCAGTTGCTCTTTTGCACTCTTTAGGGCAGCGATGGTGAACCTTTTTTGGCTTGCGTGCCATAAGTGGGGGAGTGCAGGGGGGTCTTGTGCAGGCGTGCTGCACCCATAATGCAATGTGCAACCCCCCCAGTGCACATGCACCCACTACAGGCACGACCCCTCCATTTTTGCATGCTTTTTTCGCCCTCCCCAGGCTCCAGAGACTTTATAGGAGCCTGGGAAGGGCGAAAACAGCCTCCATCGCCCCTGGGAAGCCCTCCGGAGGCTTCAGGGACCTTCAGGAGGCTTTCCTGAAGCCTCAGAAGCAGTCAAAATTACCCTTTGAGCAAACTGGAAGTCCATTCCTGAACTTCCAGTTTGCCCGTATGGCCGTTTTTTGAACTCTGGAGGCTTCAGAGAAGCTTATGAAGCCTCCGGAGGGCCTCCGGTGTGGGGGAGGCTCTTTTCGCCCTCCCCAGGCTCCTATAAAGCCTCTGGAGCCTGGGGAGGCTGAAAAATGGCTTTAAAAAAGGGTGAACTCAGCTGACAGGGCAGCGCCTCACGTGCCCTGACAAATGGCTCTGTGTGCCACCTCCGTTTGCCATCACTGCCCTAGTGATTCCATCTGGGGCTTTGGGAGCCTGGTTTGTTTCCAGTCCCACCTACAGTCCACCCTTGTCAGCTTGCTTGAGACCATTCCCTGTATCTGGGAATTGGGATAAGGGAACTCTACCTCAGCTGCCTTAGGAGTTAATTTCCAAAAGTATTCATCCTTTCTTGCTTCTGCTGCTGGGGAAGACATCACAGCATGGTAGTGTGGAGCTCTGATGGGGAGGACTTCCTCCAGTTGAAATCAAGCTATCTCCTGATAATCCACCTTCTGCCATGATTGCCTGATTTTCCCTCCAAGCACCCCAAATATTGGGGGAGTGTATTTGTAGTTTGTAGTTTATTAACATTTATAGGCCGCCCTTTNCAACCGGTTCTCCCGAATAGGTGCGAACTGGCTGAATCCCACCACTGGTCCCTTCAATGAATGTTAATTTTATAGGGTTCCTGATTTTATACATGGATGTACTTTTATATATGCCTGTATTAATGGTGTGCTGTAGTTTACATTCTATGGGGCTGTAAATAAATAATCCAAGACTCTAACATTAGATATTAAGCAGAAAAAGTAATGTCAGCCTACACAGTGAGTGAACTTACAGTTGATGCTGTAGAAGTGAAAGTGGTAAATAGTTGTATTTTCTTGAGCCCAAGAATAGATAGAGGTGGGCAGTATGCTAGAGAAACAGAGAGATTAATCATAGGGAGAAAGTAGTAACTTAAGAATAAGAATATTGCAATGACAATGAGGACTGCAATACAAAGCATTGTGAAATTTATAGTTGTGAAAGCTCATCATTAAGAAAAAAACAAAAACGAAACAAAAAAAAACCATTTGATTATGGATTTTGATTTGGTTATAGGGAATTCTTTGGACTGTAAGAGTAACCAACCAATCAATCAATCCCACATCAAATAAAGACTGATTGCTGCCTTGAGATAATAATCAGAAAGCAGGAACTCATACGTATATATTTTGCTTGTGCAATGTGAATAGAGGAAAGAGGAAGAAATGGAAGACAGTGAATAAGATGGATAAGTAGGGTCAAAGAGATTGTTGGAATGCTTTTGAAAAAATGACTAGTTTGTTATCAAAGACATGTTGAGATGGTAAGAATTGAGAATGAGAATGAACCTGATTTGATGAACCTAACTGGAGAGAAAGCCAAGCATAAAAACTTATGTGAAACTGAACTTAAACATTTAATTTTCTATGCCTATTTCACAGTGTGCTATATATGAAACAGATAGACAAAGACAGCACAATTAAATATATGTGCTAGAACAACTTTCTTCAACTTGGGCACAGATCTATACAATTTTCAGCAATGATCATGCTGGCTAGGAAATTCTGGGCATTCGACTTCACACATATGGAACTTCCTTGGGTTAGAAAGCCTGTGTGGGGAAATTCGGCAATTCTTCATATTTATCCAAATTAATATTACCATGTACTCTCACTAAATATTCTTTGTCATCATCTCCTGCAGGGCTGGAAGCCAAGCACGTATATCTTCCAGTATCTTCTACCTAAAAGACAACCAACATCTCAGTTAGAAATGAAACTGAACTAAGTTAAAACAGTTGAGATGGCTGTAAAAGAATTAAATAGCTAACTTTCAGTACCTGAGCACTAGATATTCTGAAGATCTGCCCTCCCCTTAGGACCCGAATAGTGTCTGTTTGAGGCAATGGGCGTCCATCCTTCATCCATGTTAGTTTGGGGATTGGAATCCCATCAGAGATACAGAGAAGCTCAAGAGGATTGTTAATCACTGTAGAAATTTCTTCGGGGTTATCTGATTTATTAATATGAGGAGGTTCTGAAAAAAGATATGCTTAATATCATCCTCAAAACAAAAAAACCTGACAATTTTCAAGAGTGTTATTGAAAATTCCCATAATATTACCCCTTCAATATACAAATAGCCCTTTTGTATCCAACTGAAGGCATTTTAAGCAATCAATAAAAAAAGATACCAATTTAGTATATGATAGCCATTCTAAACATTTACTATGGTAGCTTTAGTCACAGCTGACTAAATATTCAAATTAAATTAAAGTTTACTAGGCCCAAATAACTAATGTCACACAGTTCCTATTCTTGGTTTAGTAAAACATTACAATAGTTTCTGGTTGATCAGACCACTAATTAGTTGTAAATAGATAATCCTTACCTAGCACTTTCAGAGTAAAATGTTGGTTGTCTTCCCCAGCTTCATTAGATGCTATACAGGTATATCTACCTGAATCATTAATCTCTGAGTTTGAAATGTGAAGACCCCCTTTTTGGTTTTCAAAAGTCGCACGAAGGTTAACGCTAAAAGTCTGACCATCTTTCAGCCATGATATAGTTGGTGTTGGTATTCCATTAGCCAAACACACCAAAGATATGGGATTCCCTTTTAGTACAGTTACTTCTGTTTCTCCGCCATTTTCTATGCTTGGGGGTACTGGAAGGAAGCAAATCCATGGAGGATATAAAATTATTTTTAGTTTATGAAACAACTGATTTCATATCAGAAGATGTATTAATACATTTCAACATTATAACTCTTAAGTGGTTAACAATGGTTAAAAACACAATGTAATAACAACTTCACAATAAAATTGTCAGCTGAGATAAAAACAAACACCGTAACCATNGTTTGCTGCCAAGGACCTGTCTGTCTGTTAATTAAATGCCGTAACCTATCTTTGGCTCGGAGTGTGTGTTGGTGTGGGACGAGGGGGGGGGTCAGAACAGAGAAGATACCACAGAAAGTTTGTTCAGGAAATCGGTGTTTACCTGACATTGTTTCCAGCTAAAAGGGCTCCATCTTTTCTCCATGAAACTCTTGGCGCTGGAACCCCTTCCACAGCACACTCCAAGACAGCAGACATATTAATATTCACAATCATATTCTGAGAACCATTTTTGATTGAAGGAGGAACTATACAAAGGAAGATTCCCAGACAAAACCAGGAAGTTAATTAAATTTATTGAATTGCTTTCCATTTGAAATGAGATTTTCTTTCATCCCAAAATACGGGTCCTATATTTTAACTGTATAAAATTGACTTTGCTTACACAAATCTGGGTGTAAAAATCTGGAAAACCGATAAATGCAGTAGAACAATACAGAAAACCATAATTCTTGTTGCCAATGAGTAAAATAGAGTTTTGCAGTGCAGGTACAACAATGATAAATATTTCTTTCTTTGTTTTGTTTAAAACAAAAATACATGTCATATAATGTAAATTCCTATTTAGCTTTCTTTTCTACAACCTATTGAAAATGTATAGTTATGTTTTTATTTATTTTTACTATGCTAATTTAAAAGAAGTTTTTTTTATTCAACAAGGCTGGTTTCTAGATAAGCTGATTAAACAAATCCATATATATTTTAAAGATTCCTAAGTGTTGTTCTCTTACCAAAGGACACACTGCTAAAAATGAAATTTATAAAAGCTGCTTTAACAATCAAAATTAGAATAATGTATTTTTAATTTTTTTAAAAAAAGTTAGAGAACTTTCTTCCACCAAGAAATAAACAGATCACAAAACCTGTTACTTTGAGAAGTTTAATATTTTGAACATTCACTTATGGAAATATCTTACAAAGATTATATAGATTTATCTTCTTTTCTTACCATTTACATCCAATACAAACTTTCTTGTGGTTCGGCCTGCAACATTACTTGCAACACAGGTATAAGTTGCTGCATCATTTAAGTCTGCGTTGTTGATTTGCAAATATCTTCCACTGGATAAAATCCGAAGTCGGGGAGTGGCCTGAGAATCAGATGTTCAAAACTGAATCTCTTTTCAATAATAGACAAAAAATAATCAATAGAATCTACTTTATTTATACTAGATAGAGTTTAGGAATGGGAGAGAATATTGGTAAAGTTTATTTGTTTGTTAGTTTGCTTAATTTATAATCCATGCTTCTTCTAAGAGCTCAAGATTACTTTCAAAGCAATCTCTATTTTATACTTTATACTCAGTATACAAAGTATATGCAGTTCTGAGTTTCCATGACTAAGAGAGGATTTGAACCTGAGTTGTTCTAGTCCTACTTCAGCACCTTAATGGAGGGATAGTAAACCTGAGTTCAGTATGCACATTTGAATGTTAGAAACATAGAAACCCGATGGCAGAAAAGCTTTGGAGAATAGCTTGACTCCCTCTTCTTTGTGGCAGCCCCTGAGATATTGGCGTGACCCGTCAAAAGCGCGTTCCACAAAAGCNACTCCCATCCGGTCACATGGGCGGCAAGCCACTCCCACAAAGGAGGCCACACCCACAGAGTAGGTTCGAACAATTTTTGAAACCCACCACTGGCTTACAGGTTATAAAAGAAATATTTTTTAAAAAACCTAGACAAAAACCAAAACTAAGAGATGGACGGCATGGGGATGAGGCTTTCATTCCCTTTCTGTGAGTCGCAATTACTGCATTATGGTCCAGCATGGAAGAGAAAAAAGGATTATATGGGTCCTGTCTAGCATTCTTAGTTTAAGCCTATTCAATTTCCCCTATGGTACTTGTTTGTCTGAAAAAAGGCATATTTACCGTGGACCTGAAGATCGATTCGCTTACGATCACTGCCAGCCACATTGGTCGCCATGCAAAGGTATCTCCCTGTGTCAGTAACATGGGCTGAATGTATATGAAGGGATCCATTTTCTAATAGTGAATATCTAAAGTAAAACACAAGAAATTTTACACATTCTCAATGCATACACAGGGAAATAAAAATCTTATTCACATTACAGCCATTTTTCCTCTGTCCTGTGTTTCATTGGAGACTCCACTAAAAAAATAATATTAAAAACATGTAAATGAAAGAAGCAGAAAACATATATTTGTGGTTGGTTTTCTGGTTCACAAAATGACTCCACTTTTATACTAACTCAAAACTTAAGTTTACAAATTTTCGAATGCATAAATATAACTACAAGGATCGATTTTCAGGGGCAGATGTCTCTACAAAGTTGTGCTTAGATCTGAGTTGGCAATATTGTGAATCCACAAGACCTGCAGAAACGTCTTACTTACTAGTCAAAGCAGGCAGAATATCTAAGTCACCTTGGAGGATTTTAGAAAACGAAGCTAATAGTTAGACCTAGTTAATGCTTGGATGAAGGTTCATAGGAAATAGCAGAAGTGTAGATTAGATTAGTTAGTTAGTCAAAATCATTCTATAAGAAGGCAATGGTAAATTAACTCCATATTCTTACTAGGGTACCTGAACATGGAGAAAGTTAGGCAGTCACTGATAGATACACTTGCCAGGCTGTAGAGTTAGTAAAATCCACACCCAGCAATTGGATATTAGATATGTTTTAAAACTCTGTTTTATCCACTTGAACAGAGCAAGGTCAGTCAATGAGATTAATTTTCCCAACATAATATGGACATTAAGAAAAATATAGAGAAGTGTTGTGCCCCAGCAGGAGCCGTTGGAGCTGCCACCAGACTCNTCTGGCTGACGGCATCTGAAGGAGGCCCACCCTGTGGGATCTTACCGGCCATTGGGAGGAGTGTGGCAGTAGGCGGTAGGGGCACACATAATTCCCCACCCCTTTGCATTTTAAACCAGCTGCAGTTTCCAGATGCTCTTCAAGGGAAGCCCCATATAAAGTCTATTGTAGTGGTGTAGTGGTCCACAATCACAATCACGTGATTGTAGGAACACTGCAATGGTCACGAGGTTGAGATCCATTCATACTGTAACTCTCCTTTTTTTAGCACAATTGTAATTTTGAACAGTCATACGTGGTCAGCAAACAAGGACCACATGTATTTATGAATACACAAGGACTTCACTCTATATTGCTTAAAAAAGGCTTACCATAAACTTGAAGACTGTAATGTTTATTGTCGATACCAGCTCTGTTGGAGGCAACACATGTGTACATGCCAGCATCAGATACCTGTGCTTTAACAATTCTGGAAGCAAAACAACCACAAACCATTTGAAATTTAAAAATTCCTTCTTCTGCTTACGCAAAATACATAGCAATTTATAAAATGAAAGAGCAGAATGCTCTCAAATGAAGTTCAGTTCTTGGTGACTATTGACGCTGTTATGGATATAATTTGTAATAGCCTTCTTCTTGGATGCTTTGTGATTTCCTAACTAAGTCAACAGATATAAAATTCCCAAGCACTCCCTCATCGCTATGCTAACCAGGAACAACCATGCTTAACTTCTTAGATCTGCCGAGGTTTGCCAGATATAGAAATGTTCTGAGGCATTTATGAAAACGGGCATGTACAAATCTAGAATTCAGAGTTGAAGTTGGATCGTGACGTTCTGAAAGTTGAACTGATTTCTCAGATTAAGCTGAATCCCTCGAAATCGTTCAGATGTTCCTATTCATGCTGATGACCTTCCGCATGTAATTGAATCTTTGGATCACCTTATTGAATCACGTCGATGAACTCAGCTAGGTTTTAGAAAAGAAGGGTGTTTCTCTGAGATTTCAGGAACCTTTCAAGAACTCAATGTAAATGGGATTTTCTCCTGTTGCTGTGTAATTGAATTGATACTTTCAATAATAAAATTTAGATATCTTTACAGAGAAAGCACAGATATTCTTGGGATCCCTTTTTTTTCCTAAAGAAAAATCTTTTAGCGTGTTTTTCAAAAGATATAATCTACAGATAATGTTAGGTTTGTCAGATGGGAATACAGAGTGATCTGTTGGGTCTTTGCTGTTAAGAAGAGGATAGCATATATTATACACTAAGTTAAAATTAAGTCTAAAGGAAAATCAGATGACTTAGTGATGCCTATTGGAGAGCCAGTTAATTGTTACTTCCAGATTTTGCCCCTGAACTGAGAAATGTGCAATTATTTCTTGAAATAAATGACAATTGGGTCATTTGTCATAGGTACAAAAAAGCCCAGCTGTGACCAGTAGCTCTTCTTTATTTCTATTGTATCATTATAGGATGTGCAAGATGCAAGATAAATAAATTAATATAATTTTTATTGATTTATTTTCAAGTGAATTCTGCAACTTATTTTAGCACTCATAAGAAAAAGGAGACAGACTAAAGATAGAGACTGGAGGCAAATAAAAGCAAATACCATTTGCTCCCTTCATAAGAATTCAGAGAACAGGCCCTCATTGTTGGAAATAATGGCATTTGTCCTCCAAAATATTAAAACTGCAACGATGTTATAATAATTCTTAATAATTAATGCCGGTATCCAGGACTCTTGTAAGTCTCAATATGTGGCTTAGAAGTTTAGAAGTTTAGAAGTTTATTACAATTTATAGGCCGCCCTTTTCCCTGAGGGGACTCAGGGCGGCTTACATAAAATCGGGGGAAGGGNCGTCGCGCTGTGATGACGTCACATACGCGCTTTCGTCGACCGCGATTTTGTCGTCCGCGGTTTTGTGGTAGAACCAGATATTGGAACACTATTGGTGACCCTAATCCTTCTTTTCATCAGACTAAACATACCCAGTTCCAGCAACAGATTTTTTTAATAAGTTTTAGCCTCCAGTCCCATAATCATCTTTGTTGCTCTTCTCTGCACTCTTTCTAGAGCCTCAACATTTTATTTTAAAATTGTTGTTAGTGTTGAATGTTGTCAGTACGCCATCAGCAGCCCCAGAAATGGCTGCAATTAGTGTTGAGAACCTATGCATAAATGGCTATCAACGTGCAAATACCCATTTAATAGGTAATATTCATGTGAGTTTCCCATCATGTTCTTTTGTTCTATTATACTCTTTTTTTCCTTGATAGGTGAGCATATTTCCTAGAAAAGAATGGCTCCTCCATTAAACATTAAAGTATTTCATTATGCCTGCAAACGGCACTTTATAAGTTGAATTTATTATGCACATGTGCAATGCTAAAGTATACACACTAAGTTTAGAAGATCGGCGGAAGGATGAGACGAGAGCCAGGACTGCCGAACGAGAGGTTTATTTTACAAAGAACTATTTACAGGCGATTCAGAACCATCCCTGCTTGACAGCTATTTAAACGAGCTGTCAGAGCAGGGATAACCAATGGGCGCGCTTCAGGCGTCTAGCGACTGATGACGCTGCGCCTAAACCAATCAGGGCGCCTCTAGTGGCTAGCAACAGGCGATGCTGCGCCCCAGCCAATCAGGGCGCAGCCTGGCTTGTTGCTAGCTGCCAAGTCGTATGTCGAGGACTTTCCGAGTCCTCAACACTAAGGCATTAGATCCACCCTACAAACATTGAGGTAGATATGTGTACATTCTCATGGAAACACAAGCCACATCTTTCATCATATGTACAATTTGAGTACTTACATAACGTTTACTTCACCAATTAAGATAAATCACAGACAAATGACGCAGAGAATGTACCTCCAAAATTTCTCCATCTTTGAGCCACGTAAGGACAGGAGGGGGTACTGCATCTGATTTACACTCCAGTGTAACTTGCTGGTTCTGTAGCACACTAAGATTTTGAACATTGCTCATGCCAGCAATGTTTGGAGGAACTGCCAAAGAAAAACACAAATAGCATAATAAATGCAAACATTTCACTTAGATAGAGGCACACTGACATAATTTGATTAGCTCTGGGCATGACAAATTACATTTCTTGGGCAGTCATTAAAACATAAGATGATTTCTGGGAGTGGAAGTCCACACATCTTAGGGAGATGAATCCTCCCAACCAAATTTATTCAAAGCTGCCATTACTTTTTCTACAAAATCAATGATTCTTATTTGCTGCATACAGTAAGTTAAAGCCAGCATTATGGTGGTTATTAATTAATTGATTAATAATTAACCAATTAATTAATAATATAGGGTTGATTAATTTTAACCAACCCTATATTTTTAAACATTTTCTACCATGTAATCATTATTAACTTTAAATAAGATAGCTACTATTGAATTACTATTCCCTTTGTCAGAAATCTGTCCTCCAAAATATTTGTGCTTAATATTTTCTGATTTATAAATTTCACATAGGAAACAGATTGATAAAAAATATTTATAATGCTTACGGATTTTAGTTACTTTTACTGGATTACCTATCCCCTAACATTTAGTGAAATTATTCTCCATCATTCACTCATATTATAGTTCTGTTTGTCTTGTTTGCAGTTCTACATTATATTAATACAATATTTTAACATTTATTTTATAACAATCATGTAATTTCCAAGTGCAAAAAATTGCTTTACGGGTAATGTCCTCTTCTAGAGATACATATGTTTTTAAGCAACAAAAGTTGTTTCTATTAGTCCTTCATACAATACCCTTTAGATATGTTAAAAA